TTCTTGATCGCCAGATTCATCCAAATTTCAGTGATTACTATGACGTCTACATTTTCGGTACATACAACCGCTCTCAGCAAGTCTATTTTATTTCTAACTAGCAAAATCGCTGCCCTCCGGGCGGCTCATCCGCTAGGCAACGGTAGGACGCCACCCTCCGGGAGGCTCCACATTGTCTTACTATTCAGTCCCCAAAACTTTTTCTTCCATCAATCGTTCATTAACGGTGTATGAAAGTTCCACCATGTATTTCACTACAACGGTACAGCAAAGTACATTTTTTTAGCATTAAACTGTTATTATTTTATTGTCTAATCATCACTACATATAACACCACCCATCATCACTACATACAACATCATCCATCATCACTACATATAACATCATCCATCATCACTACATATAACACCATCCATCATCAATACATATAATAACATCCATCATCAATACAGATCGGTAAAGTAGTTTCCGAGATTCTCGCGCGGACACAAACAAAGACATACAAACACACAGCCACCCCCCCCCCCTCTCTTCTATTATTAATGCATCCCTCACACAAAGCAAATGCCTTAATGAATGGAAAACCGCATTTGTCACCCCCATCCCCAAGGTCACCACCCCACAGTCCCCTAACGACCTCAGGCCAGTTGCCATTACCCCCATACCCAGTCTACTTTGTGAGGACTTTGTTTTTGAGTGGGCATTTGCCAGTATCTATCAGTCAAATGATCCACAGCAATTTGGCAATATGAGGACCTCCTCTACATCAGACTGCTTGGTGAGCTTTCTGGATTTTCTGCACAAAAATTTGCAGAAACGTAAGACATCACTGGCCGTTGCCCTTGTGGACTTCAGGAAGGCCTTTGACATTGTTGATCACCGCACTGTTATCAACAAGGCTATTGCACTAGGGCTGCCCACCAACCTGGTCTCATGGCTCACTGATTTCTTGAGTGTACATCGCCAGGCAGTGAGGTATCAGGGCTTGGTCTCTACATTCCAACACCTCACCTGTGGTGTTCCCCAGGGGACCAAGATGGGACCACTGTGCTTCCTCATCCTGATCAACGACGCTCTATAGGACACTCCTCACAGGTGGAAGTACTTGGATGACTGCACTGTAGGGGTTTTAGTAGACAACACCGCACCAGACTACTCATCGCTACAAGGCACCCTGGACAGGCTACAGGCATGGACTACGGAGAACAAGGTCACCATCAACCACACCAAAACCGTAGTCATGCACATCAATACCGCCACCACTCCAGTGCAAGCCCCAGCAGTCACAGTGGGTGCCCATTCTCTCCAGTTGGTGCAGTCTGCTAAACTCCTAGGTGTAACTATAGACAACAAACTTGACTGGAAGGCCCATGTAAATAACACAGTCAAGGCAGCCTCGTACCGTCTCTACATGCTACGACGACTTAGGTCACTTGGGACACCCACGCCAGAGCTGAGGACCATCTACAACGCCTTTATTCTCCCCAAACTAACATATGCGTCACCAGCCTGGTCGTCTTCTCTCAACTGCACCCAACAACGTCAGCTAGAGAAGGTACAGAAAAGGGCCTTCAGAATCATGCTCGGCGCAGAATACTCCGGCTACACCAACGCTCTCTCCACTCTGGAAATGCCATCCCTCAGTGACCTCCACCACCAAGCACTGGAAAGGTTTGGCAGTGGACTACTGCACCACCCTCGTCATCACCACCTCCTGCCACCTGCAGCCCCCCACCCAACTCGCGCAGTCCGCCACTACAACAAAATACAGCCCATAAGAGCCTGCACCGATAGATATAAGAACACCATCCCATCTATTGTTAAAATAATAAACAACTCCTGATTTATGTACTGTACAGCCCTGTAACTATATTCAATGCATATTATATCATAATGTCTAAATCAAATGTAAGTCTGCATATTTTCAGCCACCGGCTGCAACTCTATCAATAAACCGTTTATTATTATTATTATTTATTATTACATACTTCTTTGTTTTATATATATAGATGCTCCTTCTGTTTGTATAGTACACAATTAAACCTACCTTCCCTGGTCCTGTTTTACTCCCAAGGACCTGCTTGTTTTTTTACTTCCACTTACCCTGACCTCTCTTTACTGGCAAAACACCTCCTTTGGAGTGACAATTTCACGCTCCAGGGATGCAGACAACGTCTTTACCCCGTTGCGAGACAAGTGTACCCCGTCACGACTGTACAGGTAGTCGTTGTCATAGATTCGTCGCCAGTTATCAATGAATGCCCAACCATTAATTGCACAATGTTTATCCAGTCGGCAATTTATAGCAATTGCCCTGGACAGTCATTCACCGCCAACTCCTCTTCTAGACAAGACACCACATACTATCTGGATCCCTCCCCTATATTCAGCCTTCTCTAGCGCCTCCCTATACCTCATGAAAAGTTTCTCACTCCTAACCTTTCCTGGGTTATTGCTTCCTACACTAAGACACACTACTGGCTTGCTACCCTCCCCTGACAAAACCCTATCCCTCCTCTCAGTTACATGTCCTATCCCAGCCCCAGGAAAACACACCAAACCTCTTTCATTAAAAGTACTATCTAAGAACCTCATCTGGTTGTCCCCATCTATCACGACCTTACCACTGGGCAGGGTTTGACCAACTGCCCTTTTCTCTCTTGCCACCACACCGTCCTGCTTCTTCTCTTCCTCGCCAGCTTCCTCCAACACTTGGTAAGGGCTATTGTGCTTGACAAAGAATTGGGTGTATAGTCAACGGCCCAGCGTGGTTGATCATACATTCTGGACACTGGGGTAGTAAGGGAAGAATTAGTGCTATGTATGTGTGTTATTCAGAGGAGAATGACAAGACTAATCCCGGGCATTAGGAACCTTGAGTACAGAGACAGGTTAAAGCATCTTAATGTGCACTCCCTCGAGAGACGTAGAGTGAGGGGCGACATGATCGAGGAGTATAAATGGAAGTCAGGGTTAAACAAAGGGGACATTACAAATGTACTCAAACTCTCCAACCAGGAGTGAACTCGCAACAATGGTTTTAAATTAGACAAATTTAGATTTAGGTGCGAAATAGGTAAACATTGGTTTGGAAATAGAGTAGTGGACGTCTAGAACAAGTTACCAAATATCACCATTAACTCGAATACGCTGGATAGCTTCAAGCATAGGTTGGTTGGATATATGAGCAATAGGGGCTGGGTGTAAAATGGACTGCCCAGTATGGGCCAATAGGCATGCTGCAGTTTCCTCCATTCTTTTGTTCTTATGTTATTATATATTTCATGTAGATCCACAATGAAAACGTGGATAAGATAAATCTTGATAAAATCACACAGGAAAATGGGAAACAATGGAGCACCTTAGCTTTCGTCTTTATTCAAGACATCCTCAGAGGCAACTGAATTACAAGGACTGAGAGAGAGCTTAGGACAAAAAACATGATAGCCACTAATCCACACACCAACCACACAGCAAACATAAGAAGAGCTTATATGAACGGGCGAGATAACTAGTCATGTCAAGTCAGGTAAAATTGTACTGACCATCACCAAGGTTTAAAGAATTAATTTCTCTAATAAAACTTGCTTCAACACATGATGATTTATACACTTCTAAACTGTTTTCCTAACCTATGGGATAATAATTATTGTTCGTAACATGAACGAAGAAGCAAGGTAAATAAAAAGAACATAAGAAACATAAGAAAATTAGGGTTCTGCATTAGGCCGGTTAGCCTGTGAATGACAGCTCCTGAATCTATCTAGCCTCTTTTTAAAACTTTCCAGCGTCCCAGCACTTACTACAAAGTTAATAAGTTTGTTCCACTTGTCTACCAACCTATTTGTGAACCAGTTCCTTCGTATCTCCCGACTAAACCTAAAGTTATCCAACTTAAATCCGTTGCTACGTGTTCTACCCTGCTAGGATATTATAAGAACTTTGTCTATATCCCCTTTATTGATTCCTTTCACCCACTTAAATACTTCAATCATATCTCCCAGCACTCTTCGTCTCTCTAAGTCCCGAAATCATTTTCGTCATTCTTCGCTGCACTAACTCCAGTGAATTGATATCCATTCTATAATAAGGGCACCGGAACTGAACAGAATAATTGAGGTGCGGCCTCACTCTTGCAAGACATAGTTGCAATATGACCTCCGCACTCTTATTACTTATACTTCTAGGTATAAAACCTAATACTCTGTTTGCCTTATTTCGAACATTAACGCACTGTTTTCTAGGCCGTAGGTCCGGGCTTACAAATACCCCTAAGTATCTTTCACAAGTCGACTTCTCTAGGTTGATGTTGTTAAGGCTGTATACATTATAAGTATTTGTTCTTCCAATATTAAGTACGCTGCACTTGCTGGTGTTGAATTTCATTTGCCATTTTCTGACCACATCTGCAGTTTATTTAAATCCTCCTGCAGTGCATTTGCATCCTGCCCTGAATTAATCTGCCGCCCTATTTTGGTGTCACTCGTAAACTGATCCCAGTATCTAGATCGTTTATTTAGATTATGAACAAGAGTTTGCCCAGTATTGACCCCTGGGGAACCCCATTGGTTACACAGCCCTACTCAGATTTAACACCATCTACGCTGACCCTCTGTGTTCTATCGGTGATCCTTGATTTTAGCCAATTTAAAACTTTCCCCTCGATACCATGACCCTTAACTTTTCTCAGAAGCCTCCGATGCGGTACTCTGTCAATCGCTTTGCTAAAGTCTAAGTAAACATCATCGTAATTTTCGTCATTATCTACTACCTCGAAGACTTTCCTAAAAAACGTCAGCAGATTTGTTAGACAAGATTTTGCATTTGTAAACCCAAGTTGAGAGTCGTATATTATTTTTCTCTCTAAATGCGATCGGATGCTATTTGCTATAATTGATTCAAGAAATTTCCCCACTACTTTCGTCAAATTAGCCGACCGGTAATTTGACGCTGATGCTCTGTCTCCATTTTTTAATAAAGCCAATCTCCCCACGTTCCAGGGGGTGATGTTGTTACTCGGGTATCACATAATGGTGGTGGTGGTGCTGAGCGCTACGCCCCAAGCCGTCCAGGAGGTGAATGGATCTATAGAGGAGGTGGGCTTGGATGTCGGTGTGCTTGTGGCACAGGTTTTGGAGCACCATCTCACTGGCTGTCATCTAGTGCTCGTCACCACTACATCGCATTTGCACGTCTCCATCAGTGTATTCAGGTACATTAAGTCTATCAGCCGCTGGTTTTTCGTTATTGTCTTAACTATAAATTTTTGAATGATCCTGAAAAAAACGTTATATCACTGTTGTCATGTATACAATAAAAATCAAGAAGTGTTAATAACATTGTTCGATGTATATACTTATCTTGCTCGTCACTAGTCAGACTTTACTTGAAGATCTCATCATTAATGTGGTTTACAGCAAATATAGGTGTGAACTGTGCTTCACGAAGAACATGTAAACACGAAGTAAATTCCAGAGAAATGTTGTGCATTGACATTGTATTAAACAATTAAATTAAAATGCTGTGTAATTATTTATTATGTATATTTTTTAGTCATGATAAAAAATAATAATATTTCACACTTTAACTTTTCCTCAGACACATGGGTGTGGGTGTGGCGGCTGGCGTGGTAGTGGAGGCAGGGTGGGTGTTGTCCCAGGACCAGCTGGTCCAGGACCACCTCCTGCAGGGGCTGTGGGGAGACACCAGAACCACCTGCCGGGCCCTCATCCTTGATCTCACTGCCAAAACCAGCACTGACGTCGTTCTGAAGTAACATTTACAAACATACAAGAAAATGCATTTACTATATTTTGGAAGATGATGATTACTACCGCCAAACGACCCATCTATCATCAAACACATACACACACACACACATATATATATATATATATATATATATATATATATATATATATATATATATATATATATATATATAACTTCAGCAATGGACTTGTTACTATTATTATTATTATTATTATTACAAGCAGAATCGAAACCCTCCGGGCGGCTCATCCGCTAGGCCATGGTAGGACGCCACCCTCCGGGAGGCTCTACATTGTCTCACTGTTCAGTCCCCAAAACTTCTTCTTCCATCAATAGTTCATTAACGGTGTATGTAAGTTCCACCATGTTTTCACTACAACGGTACAGCAAAGTATATGTTTTTAGCATTAAACTGTTATTATTTTATTGTCTAATCATCACTACATATAACACCATCCATCATCACTACATATAACACCATCCATCATCACTACATGTAACACCACCCATCATCACTACATATAACACCATCCATCATCACTACATATAACACCATCCATCATCATTACATGTAACACCACCCATCATCACTACATATAACACCATCCATCATCACTACATATAACATCATCCATCATCACTGCATATAACACCATCCATCATCATTACATATAACATCGTCCATCATCACTACATATAACAACATGCATTATTACTACATATAACACCATCCATGATCACTACATATAACACCATCCATCATCACTACATATAACACCATCCATCATCACTACATATAACACCATCCATCATCACTACATATAACACCATCCATCATCATTTTACATATAACATCGTCCATCATCACCACATATAACACCATCCATCATCACTACATATAACACCATCCATCATCACTACATATAACACCATCCATCATCACTACATATAACACCATCCATGATCACTACATATAACACAATCCATGATCACTACATATAACACCATCCATCATCACTACATATAAAACCATCCATCATCACTACATATAACACCATCCATCATCACTACATATAACACCATCCATCATCACTACATATAACACCATCCATCATCACTACATATAACACCATCCATCATCACTACATATAACACCATCCATCATCACTACATATAACACCATCCATCATCACTACATATAGCACCATCCATCATCACTACATATAGCACCACCCTCATGTAATGGCCCTTGCTGAATTGCTGAATTATGGCAACAATCCTGTGACCTGAAGTGAACATTAGTTTCTGAAAATGATTCGTTCACTGCCCAGGGTGTGACAGGACGTGACTGCAGTTGTTGTGGCTACTCATCAATCAACATACTGTTAACAAAATTCTTTCGTATGGCGTGAATAAACCCCAGTTACCAGCACCCCCTAGTGATGACAATTCTCCGGTCATGAGAGAAGGCCTCAGCATTCTGATGTATGGTGTGGTGGATGAACTAGTGTAACCAGGTGCGGTAGTTTGCTGTACTCATGATTTTCGAGAAAATTGACCCAGTCACAGGACCTTGGAATCAGCTGTGTCTCCTGAGAGTGACACACGCAAGTCTACTGGATTGCGGCAACAGTTTTACATTTTCAAGAGATTCTAGAAAGGATTATTCAATCAAGCCTACAAGGAATAGGTGGTATCTAGGTATACATTAAATATATACACACATTTACATGTTCGAGACATAACTCCACATCAGTAGGACATCGATAGGTTATTGTCATTGTTGTAAGTGCTTACTTATTTTAATATATACTGACGTGAAATAATTCCCAGTATTTATTAGACATAGAAAATGTGGACATTTTCTTTTGATCCCAGGGAGGATAAGAATGTTCATAATTTTAAAACTACTGTACATATTTTAAAGATGTCAAAGACACATCTTCTTAAAATAAAAATATGATAATTCTACAGTAAAGTATCACAGACTGTAAATTTTCAGCCATACCATGTAGAACCCTTTACAACTCAGTACCATTGCTCACCGCAAGGTCGAAAGTGTTGTCTACCATTCCCCCTCAGAGGAAGGGGGATAATATGTCAGAGCTACCCCAAGACCGCACACCCTCACTTTCCCAGCATGATTACAGTAGCAAAAGTTATACATTGCTAAGAAGATGCGTTCTTAAACACGAAGTAGGCAAAGATTATTTCTGCCATGTTGCTTTTGATATTGGCAGTAATGTTTGTGTTTTAAGTCAGAATCATAAAATTTTTTGTACATGAGATACTAGCCAGTAAGACACTTAAGTCTAGGACCCCTGTAGTTGATGAAAACCCTAAGATTGTAGAGTCCCCAGCTTAGTGTTTACACATATGTTTTTAACATGGTTAGGCTTATGTATAGGATGTTTATCTGCGAGTTTAGTTAGTCCTCGCAGAGCTCGGAGGGTAGGTGACCGAGCGATGTAATGGCCCTTGTTTCATAAACAGAAGTATTATACAAATGGGTTAATTACATTTGATTTATATACTGATTCTCCCCCTGTAAATTTCCACTGGCTATGAGGTGACATGTTCAGTGCACGTGATAAGGTGTGCCCACAGGAAGCTGCGTCATATTATGCTGAGTAAAGGCATAAAGTAGCCGGCCCCTGGCCACCTAAAGCGGGCAGTAGCTTGATATCCTTGACTAGAGGAAGACGTTATTTGAGAGCAGCAGTGGATGGCTCCGTCTTCCCTCGAGGGAGGATGAAGTCCCTATTCCGTTCTCCCTTGATGGGTCACTACTCAAAGTCTCACTCACAATCTTACATCGAACGGACGTTGATTCTCGGTCTATATACATAGCCGCCGTCCTCTCTCTTCACGCTCATAAATAGTGGAAGTTATGGTTGATCTACACTCAGGAATTATACAAACAATACTTTTTAATAAAAGAAGAAACTTCATTTGGGTTTCGTTAATAAAGCCAAATATAATATAAATGTACCAACCTGGTTAACTTTGAATTAAACAGCCGGTTCAATCACTACCATCACTACTACCACCATCATCACTACCACCACCATCATTACCACTACTATCAACAAGTCTCTACCACCACCACTATCACCACAAACATGCCACTATCACCATCACCACCACTACCACTGTCACTACCACCATCACCACCACCACTACATATAACATCCATCATCACTACATATAACACCACCCATCATCACTACATATAACATCATCCATCATCACTACATATAACACCATCCATCATCACTACATATAACACCATCCATCATCACTACAGATCGGTAAAGTAGTTTCTGAGATTCTCGTGCGGTCACACAAAGAAAAACACACACACACAAACAAACAGACATACTTCTTTGTTTTATATAGATATTTTATATTTTATATGGAAGATTATTAAAATTGCTATTATTATTATTATTATTATTATTATTATATAAAAACAAAAAACATTAGAAAATAAGAATCCTACTACTGGTGGCACTGGATAGAAAAGGTTGGTCACAGCGGTGTCAGGCCTTATAAGGCGGGGATAGGCGTGGGTAGATAGTTGACCCCCGCTCCGTGGGCGGCGCTGGAGGCGTAGGCTTGGGAATTCGAGAAGGTTACATAAGAACATAAGAAAATATGGAGTCTGCAATAGGCCGATTGGCCTGTGCATGGCAGCTCCTGTCGAGAGTTACTACCACTCTCTATCATCCATGAATCTATCTAGCCTCCTTTTAAAACTTTCCAGAGTTCCCGCACTTACTACAAAGTTGGTAAGCTTGTTCCACTCGTCCACCACCCTATTTGTGAACCAGTTTCTTCCTATCTCCCTCCTAAACCTAAACTTATCCAACTTGAATCCGTTGCTCCGAGTCCTATCCTGCTCGGATATTATAAGAACTTTATCTATATCCCCTTTATTGATTCCTTTCACCCACTTAAATACATCTATCATATCTCCCCGCACTCTTCGTCTTTCTAGGGAATGCAAGTTAAGTTTCTTTAACCTATCCTGATATGGAAGGTTTCTAAGTCCCGGAATCATTTTTGTCATTCTTCGCTGCACCGACTCTAGTGAATTTATATCCATTCTATAATAGGGGCACCAGAACTGAACCGCATAATCGAGGTGCGGCCTGACTAGCGCAAGATATAGTTGCAATAAGACCTCTGCACTCTTGTTACTTAACTTCTAGATATAAAACCCAATACTCTGTTTGCCTTATTTCGAACATTAACGCACTGTTTTCTAGGCCGTAGGTCCGGGCTTACAAGTACCCCTAGGTCTCTTTCACAAGTCGACTTCTCTAGGTTGATGTTGTTAAGGCTGTATACATTATAAGTATTTGTTCTTCCAATATTAAGTACGCTGCACTTGCTGGTGTTGAATTTCATTTGCCATTTCTCAGACCACCCCTGCAGTTTATTTAGATCCTCCTGTAATGCATTTGCATCCTCCCCTGAATTAATTTGCCGCCCTATTTTGGTGTCATCTGCAAACTTGCTTATGTCACTGCTGATCCCAGTATCTAAATCGTTTATGTAGATTATGAACAAGAGTGGGCCTAGTACTGACCCCTGGGGAACCCCACTGGTTACACGGCCCCACTCAGATTTAACACCATCTACGCTCACCCTCTGCATTCTATCGGTGAGCCATGATTTCATCCAATTTAAAACTTTCCCCTCGATACCATGAGTCTTAATTTTTCTCAGAAGCCTCTGATGCGGTACTCTGTCAAATGCTTTGCTAAAGTCTAAGTAAATAACATCGTAATTTTCGTCATTATCTACTACCTCGAAGACTTTCCTAAAAAACGTTAGCAGATTTGTTAGACAAGATTTTCCCTTTGTAAACCCATGTTGTGAGTCGTAGATTAATTTGCTTTTCTCTAGATGCGATCGGATGCTATCTGCTATAATTGATTCAAGAAATTTCCCCACTACTGACGTCAAACTGATCGGCCGGTAATTTGAC